TTTTTTTTTTTTATTTTTTTTTTTATTTTTAACTAGATTAGCAAAATCTGCCTTAATCTCTTTTCATATAAAATAATCTGACACTTTTCTCTGAGCCATTTCTACTGTGTTAAATTAACAAAGGCAGTATTTCAGGTATGATAACTATAATTTTTTTCTATTGTTCTGGTAGGAATACTAAGTTTTAATTATGCTGCACACTGAGTGGGTTATCTCCTTATACATATCTGAAGTGATGCCTGGTTCTTCTCTTGTCCAATCACTTCATACAAATATCTGAAAATCGTTTTTCTGCTTCCCGTTTGTCCACAGTCAGCACATGGATGAGCCTTCGGGTATTGCTGTCTTACTAGGGAGCTTAGCAAAGTCCTTTATGTTATGAAAGCAATTTTTTSTCAAGTGTAATTGTCAACTCAATATTAAATTTATCAAAGAGCATTGTAAACAGCTGTAGCAGCCCACGTGCCTTTCCACATCTGTCCTCCCCACACTCAACCCCCACAATCCACAGAGATTTGCAGCAATCCTGTGTCTTTTACTCTGAGCAACACTAGGGACCTGCAGCCTCGTCAGAAAAGCAACGCTGCTTGAGAACTGGAGTTAGCATAAAGTGTCTAAATTACACTTTACTACAGGCATGGGATTGCTAACACACATTTTAACTGGCTAAACTGGTAAATGAAATGCTACACAATGTGTTTGATTTTCCACTTTTTCTTCATTGTTCCGTGATCTGAGGTAGTCAGGTGTGTGTTACCAGCCAGGGTGGCAGCCATGCAGTTTGTGTGTTCCTATCACCGTATGGATTGTTCTGCAGGTTGGGTAATGCTGCATCCTGCCAGGGAAGGCAGATTCACTTGATACTTTTCTTTGGTCATTTACTTGGGACAGCTCTGCTTCTACAGTGTCAGTGAGCAAATCTAAGGGAAGGAGAGAGTTAGAACCATTGTGCAGTAAAATTTCTGTTTTCATTGAGGTTTTTCAGAATTTTTTGAATGTACTGTGGATTTAATTCTAGGACATCGTTGGCCTTGGTTGAAAGTATTTGATATGTTTTGTAAGTTTGTGAAATGGTTTCATGTCATTGCTCCAACTTAAGGTGACCCTTTAAGATGTGTTTATGACCTTGTGTAGTATTGTCACAAACAACAGTTAAAAAAMCCCTAACTAAACAAAAAGGAAAAACCAAAAAACAAAAGCCCCAACCACAAAAAAAACCTGACCAACCCCTAGAAAAAAACATAACTGTGGCAAAATGTTTTGAGAGCATCACAATCTTCTTGAAGACTACTGAAATATGACAAAACTRTGTAAGAACTAGCCACTGCTAGAGTGTCTGCAATGAAAACCACTCCCTTGAGGTGTTCCAGCTTGAAAAATCACACAGCTACATTGCTTGTAGCTTGCTGCTTTCTAAATCATTATCTTTAGTCTGCTATCCTTACCCAGGCACAGGGAAGTAGCACACATCTACTACTGCAGGAGGATTTGTGTTGTTACTATTTGAGAATTATCTGTGCTTATTATCTAATTAGTTTTCCAATCTTGCCAATCTTTAAATATCCATCAAGACGAAGGTTACATCCTTCTTCATGTTTCCCACATGCTGTCATCTTCTTGTGAGCTTTTCAGTGTTATTGCAGGATGCCATCAGCCAAGTGTGTGGCATTTTRCTGCACTACATCAGAAAATAGGCTTCTGTCTAGTCTAATAGTGAAAGRTTTCAATTCTCAAGTCACTGGAGCATTGTTTCACCATCAAGCCAACTTTTTTGCATTTAAATGAGAAATTTACAGAGAGAACCCTGGATTTGAGTTGGCGGTCTTCTCTCTGGTGAGACTCTGGTGGAAGCAGGTTTTTAGCAAGTCTGATGTTAGCCTGGGCCACTACAATAYAGTTTTTGTATCCACAAAAGAAAGATTAAAGATATAATGCCTCTATTACACATTTTCTGTGCCAAAATAAGGTGGAACTTGCAACAAGGACATCCCTGTCAACTAATAGTACAGAAAAGGAAATTTCTTCCATATATGTGATCCTCCTTTCCCTTCAAGTTTATTTTCCTCRATCATTTGAGGGAAAGCACCTTTTCTTCTATCTTTTAATTTTTGTGAGAGACACACACAAGTTACCAATCACTGAGAGCACTTACTGTGTCACAGCTGTGCTTTGTAGACCTAAACCAGCCCAACATGTCTAAGTGACTGGCCCCTTACAGCTCTGAGCTGTATCTTGCCCTCTCTACAGTTACTATTCTTCTCCAGCCCTGCCGGGGCATTCACTGCCTAGAGGCAGTTGCAATTTCAGACTTGGAGTCTGGATGGCAGTCTAAAATATTTTTACATCCTGATGAGTCAGGTAAAAGACATGAGATGCATAACTGTGTCAGGAAAAGTTTACCCTGTGGTTGAATGCCATATGGATCTGTACTCACTTGGACAAAGGACTGGTATTTGAGGCATTCTCATCCTAGTTCTCCTAACTGATCTCCAGCCAACAATTTTAACTTTGTGCCTCTGCCTTTACCTCTTCTGAGACTTCAGTAAGTGCTAAGCATTGGTAATTYATAGAACTGTCACTAATGGGAACAACGACAACACAACCTTTTGCAAAACACGTATTTTATATAATATAGGGTTTGCTAACCATGGCACAAAAGCATTTTTGTATATCCTGTACTGGTTACCTTGCTTAGTTAGCTGGTTTCTTTCATGAGGAACCAGYCTTGACCTGCTGTTTTCTACACTGGACTTCGTAACAGTATCACTAACTCTGCAACTTGTTTTCTAATCAAGCTCATGATATTAATGATATTGGTTGAAAAATAATTTCCTTTCAAGTTGCCAAATCCATTCCCTTTGGTCATCTTCAAGAAGGTAAATACTGAATATTCAGCATGTTTTCTACTGGGAAGATCTGTTTAATTCAAAACTCCCTAGAAAAGTGTTTGAAACCAACATATATGAACATAACAATGTGATCCATGTGTTTTGTGTACATTAAGTATTCATGAAGCAACTGTGTGCTTTATTTTAAATTGAGTTTGATAGATGGCTGTGTCAATACTTGTGCCCAGGTTATTTAAAAATCAAGTAAAACTTGAATTTTTAGGGCATTCCATGGTTGCCTATGTGTCTTATTTACATTACACAAAGGAGCAAAGCCTTCAGAAACAGATTCATTTGACACCACCATCTGGTAGAAACAGGTGTAGTACCAATTAAAATCCACTTGAGGATACAGCTTCCCCAGATTAAGTATTTTATCTTGTAGTAGGAGGTTGTCAGTGTAAGCTTTGTATTTCCAGTGCACATCTGTACCAGTTTCCTTTCTCACCAGAAAATCACCAGAGAGCAGCAGCACATGATGTAAGCTGTCAAACCAAACACACAAACACTGAACCTGTGTGGCAGACACTCTCTCCTTAACGTGTCTGATTTTTCTCCTGTTTTTGTTCTCCAGAGTAAGAGTTGTGGGCTGACTTTGGCTGRACACCAGGTGCCCACCAAGCTGTTCCACACTCCCCTCCTTAATAGGATGGGGGAGGGGGAGAAAATTAGATGGAAAAAATCCTAGTGGGTCAAGATAAARGAGTTTAATAAAGCAGAAGCAAAAGAAAAAAAAATCCCAAACCTGAAAGATTTATTTTCAACTTCCCATCAGCACATGATRCCCACCCAATTCCTGAGAAGTAGGGCTTTAGTGCAGATAGTACGTTATTCCAGAACATGAACAAAAGAATAAACCCTYCCTTCCTTATTCCTTTCTCTCCCATTTTTATTGTTGAGCATAATCTTACGGTCTGATGTTTTTTTCAAGGGTACAATTCAGTTAGCCAGTCACACAAAATAAAAGGCAGTCCTAATGTTTAACACCATACTTCACATTTACCAGCATTATTATTTAAGAAATCTGTGACCTTTGCATCCACCTATTCCTCTCTCTATCCCACTTTTCCCCTGTACCATAAAACCTGTATTACACATTAAAGCTTGGGGTTCTACATTTTTTTCAGTTGAAAGATAATTAACATTTTAGATACCCATCCAAATCTGGCTAAATTTAAAAAAGCTACTCCTATTGTTCTTACACTTCCGAGAACAAATGCCTATGAGCAAAAYTCCTCAACAGATGGTATCGTCAGGGAATGTAATCCCTAAAAAAACCCCTAAACTTTCAAGTGCATCCAATAATTACATGCTGGATCACTAAAAATTAATTAGTYTTGTCTAAACCTCCTATTCCTCTTGACAAACCAAAAACAACCTTACACTTAGAATTTGTGTAAGTAGCATACTTATATTCAGTACTGAAAAAATCAGACATTGCAAGATAAATYAATTTTATCAGAAGACCAAAGGCTGAAATTTTGTATGTTAAGWGTTCCTGAAAAAATAAGCAGCAATTCCAATTATCAAGAGTATTGCACTCCAAGTCAAGTTAAAGTACTATATGATGTAGCTGGTCAAGGTGATAATCATAAAACAAGCTTGCTGTTCTCCATGTTAGAAAAACACCTTTCCTGCTATTTTTAAACCCAGATTTGCTGTATTTCTACTTTTTAATTTTCTACTTTTGCTCACCACCATACAAATCTCAGCCAGCCCTATCTCTAAATACTACAGGTGGCCGGCCATGGTTTAAGTCATCATATCCCAAACACTTAGCAAATCCTAGGATTTGTTTCATACARAGGGGTGCATTGGTATCCCAACAGTAACACAGAGGAAGTAAAATAGAAGCAACTCGTACTAAAGCTTGGGAAACACAGAAATTCTGAGAACAGAAACATAAATCTTTATTTTTTATCTACATAAACATTACTAGGCATTGCCACAATGCAGTCAAATACACTTCACTTGTGTATTCACATTTACTACATGAAGGCTTAATGGTCCATTTTTTATAGTTTTTTGTTTCTTAGGGAGGAGTGTCGCACAGAAGTCATTCCGCTCAGCTGGTTCTAACAATTGTACTAGGGAAAAAAAGGAACAGAATGTGAGACTAGACACATGTAGCACACAACTCTTTTCAGGAACATCCCCTAAATCCCCAGGACTGATACAAAATTACAATGATCAGCTTTTCCTCATCCCTTGGGGAAAGAAGAAAAAGCATAAAATGTGCAAATGTAGTTTTTAAAGACCTGGCGTGCAAGAGAGGCTCTTTGCCCACCTAAGTGAGAATTCAGATTGTAACCACAAACTGGTGGAAGTAATAACACTTTGTAGTACTAATCATGCATACAATATGACTGCATTATAAAACAGTCTGAGAATAGTAAGCCAATAATACACAATATTTACTAATGTTATATTGGCAGCTGGGTTACTGGATACATTACTAATAAGGGCTTGCACAAACATTTCTCTTTCCAGGGTTGAAGAGGTTCACACAAAGAGTGCCCACCCTACCCTTCAGCACTGCAAAAGTCCCCAGTGTCTGTGGTGTTAAATGTCTGGATGAATTTCACGGGCTCATGTCCTACCAGCAGCAGTGGTAAAGCATTCAGTTAATCTCTGTTGCTCAAGTAAACTTTCACATTGCATTGATGAAACTTTTTGATGTAAGTATTTTCAAGTACCCAACTTGAAGTTTTATCACTTCACTGAATATCTGGGTTTTTTTCCCTCAGRAAAAAAAAAAAAAAAAGCAAAGCCAGAAATGAAAACTCCAGTGATGTAGCACTGGATCATTGTTTAACTATTGACTTAAAAGTTTTATGGCTTCAAAAACTTGGATGACTTGTCACACCCTTGGGTATGTAGATACACAAATCACAGTTTCAGCAACAAAGAAAGATTTGATAATGCTTCTACTTTTTATTAATGCCTTGTTTGTACTAATGAATTTTGGGCTGACTACACTAGTCAACTTTTCAATGGTGTTGGCTTTTTCAAGCCTTTACAGCAAAGCACTATTTGGCATACAAGGTTCAAACCTTTCATATTTTTTTACCAGTCTTTTAACATTTCCAATCCTTGTGTTTAGAACTGCTGCACAATATCACATCCCTAAAAGCAAACATGAAAATGCATGTCTTTGTTTTGGACACAGACAGTGCATACTGGCTGAACAAGCCACCCATACCAAACCTTCTACTTTATAGTTTCCACTTTGCTCTTGGTGATAAGAATACAGCCATCAAGCTGATCTCATTCCCACTGTTTCAGCTCTAATTTCTGCTCTAAAGTCATTATGCCAAACTTCCTTTTCAGCAGAAAGTCTGCTTCATTTTAGGAGTAAGCTACAGGACAGAGTTGCACAAGGAATTATTTTTACTCACAGCTGTGCAGTCTGCACCTGGTGGCTTTTTCCTACATACCCTTCTCATGCTCAGAGGCTTTCACCACACAGGGCTATCTCTGGGAGATGCTCAACTTCCAGTAAAACACACTAGAAACCTGTAAGAAACATTCCTAGCATTAAGGATTCTGGCAAGAATCTGACATTATCAAAGTATACTTTACACTTTCATAAGTGCATCAGGGAAAGCCCAGAAAAAAGTAAACAACTTATTAGTCAATACTGACTAGTGACTTGCTTATACAAAATCATGATAGACAGGACAGCTAAAGAAAGCTAAAAGTGGCCATTCAAATTTTAGTTTTTCTTCTTCTAATAACTGTAAGATACTTAATTTTAAAAGACACAAGTATAAAATCCATTGCATAGCTGCTCAATGATACAATTTCAACAGGTTTGYGGTTTTTTGTCCTTGCAAAAACAGAGGGGAGGAAGGTACACAACCAGCTTCCTAAAAGTTTGTGTAAGAATTTATGTTTGCCTTTTTTGACACCACAACCATTCTGGACAGGAATGAATGGGCAACACAAAGGCCAAAATTTAAGCATTGGAACTCATTACGTCTGCAAAATTAAATTCACATCTTATGAAAAGAGAGCAATTCATCAGTTGACAAATACTTCAAAATTCACAATTAAGTATTGCGTTATATAAAGAAACCATTTAATAAGAAAAGCCAAGCACACCATGCGCTTGGGRTATTTTTCGGTCATGTTGGTGCATGCTCCGGCCACTGACCCACTTCCATTGCTTTCATCTGAAAAAAAAAGCCCAAACCAAACGGGGGTGGGAGGGGGTAAGATACATTTGGAAGAGACAGAGATACACGAAGAGTACAAGGAGTCTAACCGGACGTAATTGAGGTAATTGCTCAAATTCCGAGGACACACAGCCCCAATCACCACAACCCAACGCTACAGCGCCTCGACGGACCCACCTCCCGCTGCTCACGGCGTGCCTCCCGCGGGCTGAACCATCCCGCCCACACGGGGGGAAACACGCCGTGCGCCGCCTCCTCCCGCAGCGCAGAGGCCACGTACTGAGTCTGCCGCGGAAGCGAAGCTATAGTCTCCGGTGTCCAAACAGAAGGAGTCCTGAGCGGGCAAATCTGCCCCGGAAAGGCGCTGGGATGCGGAGCAGCACCGACCGTCACCCCCTACGCGAGCGCGGCGATGGAGGCGCCCCAGGGAGCAGACGGCGTGCCGCAAGCCGGTCTTGTGCGCATGTGCAGTGTGGTGCCCGCGGTGTGCTGGGGCTCTGGACCSGGAGCTCTGGGTGTTTCCTGTTACTTGTGGGAGCTTCCCGCGATCTCCGGGCACTCTTGGAAGCTCCCGCTGTTCTCCGGGCCCTTGCGGTGAGGGGGCTGCGGCGGGGTATTTCTCGAAGTTCCCTGTGRCCTTAACGCGGGCACATCGTGGTGAGGTGACTGCATGTAAACACCCTCATCTCCTGTGCCCCTCTCGATCGCAGTGTCGTCAGGTTGACTTGTCTGTCCCCAAGCTGAATTCTCCATGCCTTTTGTAAATATAACCAGCTTGTACAGTGGAAGTTGCTTAATAAAGGGGTGTTTCAGGAACTGCGGAATATTACATCATGAAATAAATATGCATTAGGGGAGCGGAAAATACGCGTTAGGAAGCTTCATGTGACTCTTTGCTGTGTAAAAGCTGTAACCTGTACTTAGGTGTGTTTGATTTGTGGAAACCTCGCAGAAGAAGAAATGTGTGCTTTTTAAACCTGGCTCTGTGTCTGTTTAGAGAGCCAAAATGGGCTACATCGATTCCAGCAGTGTCCTGCTCTTTGCTACCACCAGAGCACATGGAGAGGAACCAGCCTCAGTTCACACTGCAGAGTTGGCAGTCCTCGATGTTTAAGGCTTGTTTGGTGGTAGAAGCCCACTCTGAGTGCACAGTTCCCACATTTCCTGACCCTGCAAATGGTAGCTTTCACACATGTAAAATACTATGAGAAGGGGAAACTAGAGAGGCAGGTACACCAGCAGGATAAACTGGCACTGTACCTAGGTAAGAGCAGGATGGGGCTGGTGCCAGCTGCAGAGAAACCTATACAGCTCTCCTCTGCACCTTCCTCTGCTTCTTGGAGCTGTCGCCTACTTGCTTCTTCTGGCTCCTCCTTACCTGGGAATATCAGAGAGAGCACTTCATGTCCAAAAGGCAGAGTTGCAGGAAACTTCTACAAGGACACCCTTAGCTAAATTACAGGAGGTCATGAAAAGACAACCTAATGCTCAAGAGGCATGATTTATTGCATCCCAGGCAGTTAGGAGGACTAAAGATAAATAAAAGAGTTCAGGGGCAAGCAGATKTCATCACTTAGAGCTCCTGGAGAAGTCTACACGCTTTCAGGGGTGCAGCATTAGTTTGCTCCACAAAAATTAGTTTTAGTGTTATTATGCTTAGACATCTCTAAAACAGAGTATATTAGTGCTCTARTCTAGCATTAATTTTAAGCAGATTCACCTGCAATAGCTTTGGCTTGTCATTAGAAATTCTGCTTTCCGCATGAAGAAGATTGTCTTAGGTATTGTCTGAAGCCAAACTTACACATGCATAAAGGTCAGCACTTTGAATAAAATGATACTTTTAATTCACAAGCAGTGTTTTTGGAGGGAGATTGTTGATGACAGTCAACTGATGAGATTGTTGCTGACAGTCAAGTTATTAAATCAGTGGAGATCTATTGCTCTGTGTTGCTGATACAGTCATGAGTTGATTTGCAGCTCAGGGACAGCTGCCTGGGCAGAAGTTTAAGTCAATGTAACTAGTCAGATTTTGATTATCTAAGTGAATAATATATCGAAGAAAAAACTTTAAATGTCTGTGACAGTTATTACTTATGCCTGGGGATACAGGAGAGCTTGAATAGCTAAATGAAAAAAAAAAATATTTATAGAACACTAATTGACTATATGAAAAATACCGTCACTTCAGGTGTCCCCTGAACAGATTTACTGAGTCAGAGTCACAGAATGGTCTGGGTTGGAAGGGATCTGCTGGTGCAAACCCCCTGCCATAGACCACGGCATTGTTCACTAGACCAGGTGGCACAAAGCTGCCCTGTCCAACCCGACTTTGAAGACTTCCAGTAATGGGGACATCCACAGCTTCTCTGGGCAACCTGACTCAGGGTCTCACCATCTTCAGAGTGAATAATTCCTTCCTTATGTCTAAATCTCTCCTCTTTTAGTTTCACACTGTTGCTCATTGTTCTGTCGCTACAGGCCCTGTTAAAAAGCCTGTTTGTATCTTTCTYATAAGCTCCCTTTAAGTGTTGAAAGGCTGCTAAAAGGTCTCCATGGAGCCTTCTCTTCTCGAGGSTGAGCAACTCCAAGTTTTATGAGCCCATCCCTCAAGCCTGTTGAGGTCTCTCTGAGTAGAATGCCTTCCCCCAAGCCTTTCAGTTAGGTGTCTGTAACCTTGCTGAAGCAATCATATACCATGAGAAAATAGTGGTCAAAGCTTTTCTGATCATAAATATTAGGTTAGAGACGTTGGTCACACATCTGGTGTTTATGTACTCACAACTTTCAAGACAGTAAAAATAATCATTGGAACAATTTACAAAGGACAGGAGATGATACTGCACAGCTGGATTTATTTTCTTTTTCAAACTGATTGATTTAGTCCAATTAGGATCAGAATTTTTCTAGAAGTGCACGAATTTTCTAAAACTTAATTCAAAATGGAAGGATTTCATATCACCTCTCCTAGAATTTGAATTCCTAATCTCTCAGTCTGCAATAATTTTATTTTTTATAAATGTCCCCACAAAACCAGGACATGAAGGCATAACTGACAGTGACTCCAAATTATCTAGTGGATAAGAACCTCTTGAGGTGGAAACAGATACCACATTTAAATATGTGAGAGGTTTAACAGAAGGTTGAAGTGTGAATCAGGTCAGGACACTTCTGTCCTAGCAGTTGGCCCTGTTGTTCAGATTATTTATTGTACATTCTGCGTATTTAGCAGCAGTGAATTAGTTGCTCTAATGCCCTGTTGTAGTTCTGGGGCCTCTTATGGGGAATCTGAACTAAACCACTGTCCAGCAGCATGCAGGGGTTGATATATTCCAGTTTGTCAACTTTGCCACAGGGCACAAGAGGAGAACTTTGACCCAACMGTGATTAAGAAGGAAAAGCTGAAGCAAGCTCATGAAAGACATAAAGACACTCAGCCTTTTTGTCTTTGAAGTTAATGGTGAGATACTACTTTCTGTTTTGCTTCCTAAACATGGGATTCGTGATTTAGTCACTGGAATTACTTTGCTTTGTGTCAGTTGGTGATATTTTTTAAGCCAAATGTAAGTTCTTGAAGGTTTATTGAAAAAATCATCATCTGGCTGGCTGAAAGTGCTGTGTGCGCTACTTGTCATGCTGCCAAAAGGAGAAAGCATGGGAGGGAGCAGTGACAATGTCTACACTCACTGGTGTATACATTCTTCTCCCCARTTTTCAATCTATTAAGCCAGCTTGCAAGGGGCACTGCAGGCTTCCAGCAGCAAGGTACCTGTGTCTCTAAGTACATGTGGACAGGATTTGTGTTTTCAAGCTCCACTGAGCTGCTTACAACCCAGCACTGAAGTTGCTTTACCAGCTGCTATTACCAGCTACCTAAGCTGAGATTTTCCCTTGTTAAAATGTTCTTGGGCACTTCCTGAGCATGTACAAAAGGCCTTTTCTTATTACTGATGTATTTTGTCATACCCGAGAATATTTCTGACAGGTCAGTACTGAAAGAACCTGTTAAAACTTTAAATGACCTTGGATTTAGTTCTGAAAAGCACCACATATCAGCTATGATCTCTTCATTCACTCTTGCTTCCTATTTTCAAAGTATAATTCAACTGGCAAAATATAATTCAGCTGGCAAAGTATAATTCAGCTGGCAAAGTATAATTCAGCTGGCAAAACTGATATACTCAGAAGAGGGCTCCGTGCACCACCACTCCCCAGTAAATATGTAATGGCAAAATAAGTTAGTTTTTTATAAATTTACCACTATGTGCAAGGGAGAATGAAGTTCAGTATTAATTCTCACTCTGCAAATGCAGTAAGCACAGTTCTGGCTCCTCATCCTTTTCAGTAGTCATTGATTTCCTGTGAACGCTAATAAGCAGTAAAAATCTGTATSTGCAATAAACGTCTTGTTTTGTTCCACTCTGTCTGGGTGTGTCCTTAGTTTTCCTGAGTGAATTCCAACACTAACTTGTATGGCTAAAATTCCCTGTTGTTCTTCAGCAAGAAAACCAGTTCCTACCCTTCCTGGCTTGTGGCCTCATTTCTGTTCCCAACATCAATTAACTGCTCCATGAGTTTTGTCGGTGCTGGTGTTTGTGGCAGCATGCCACAAAACTGGTCACTGAAACGGTCAGACACTTCAAAACAAGTGATTTGCCTTCAGGCACATTAAAATGTGCAATAGTAGATAATAAAATAAAAATAGTTAAATATAGCCTGAGAAGAGTCAAGAAAGGTTAAACATAAGCACTTCCATTTGAGATGTATGTTGCATAGAAAGCTTGCAGATGCACCTACTTGCTTCTTTTCTGCATAAAGATTAAGGGCTGCTGTGTATACAACGTTTTGGTGGTGCTACAGGAAATCCTAACACGAGATGATAGGTTGTCTTGGGAGCATCGTATGTAAAAGCTGAAATATCTCTAAAGCGATTTGGGAGCAGTGAGGCACTACTGTGACATTGCTCCTGCTCAGCTGTCTTGAGGAGCTTTCAATGTCAGACTTCCTGCRTGCCCTCGTTGAACTCCCACCGAAGTTGCAGGGTGTGATTTCCTTGGCCTCTTATCCGCTTAATTTCACGGCATTTTGTTTTTCTGCAACCCACTAGAGGTCAGTGTAATGCCAAGAATGGAGAGGAATGGGGCCAGGATAG